TTTAGAATAGTCTTTTAACTCCTTTATAATTTGGTCATCTTCTTTATATGTTTGTTTTTTTACTTACCTCTTTTTCATTCTACATTTACCCACTTTTTTTTTTTTTTTACTTCTCTATAAGAAAGTGTCATCAGATTAGTAGTACTCTATTGTAGAGTGGTGATTTTAACAAGGTTGGTGAAAACTATCTTTTAATCTCTGAAGCACATATTCTCAGTAAGTTGAGGATCCTGGAAGAAGGAAAATATTCACTTAGGCAGGTTGTTTCTGGGTCGTACTCTAGCGTAAATTTGGGGTTTACTTTATTTTTACTGTGATAATAAGATGGATTGAGAGATTTTTTATTTGTAACAGGCATAAAATATTTCTTATAGATAATGTAGATTTAGCTAACTAAAATATCTTGTTGTAAGGTACTGTCGATAAAAAAAATAAAGGAAAGATCGCTAAAGTAAAAAAAATATGTACATATAATTAAATTATTTATACTTGGTAAATAAATATATATGTGATGATTAAATTATTTTGTTATATAACTATAGCTATTTAATTCTATCGATATTAAGAGTGTTAATTATTTATTTAATTTTATATATATATGTTGTACTCTAAATAACAATCTTGTTCCGATTGCCAATTAAGACAGCCCAAATTAAAATTGCCCAAATCTAACTTTAACATCTGGGCTAATTAATTTATAATTTTGACCAGATTGTTATCTAGAAAAATTGTTATTTGGGGTATGACTAGTGATTTGTACAGACCGGATTGGATGGATCTTTTTAAAGATCCGAATCTAATCTGAAAAATCAGATCAGATCCAAGTTAGGATCTGAAACTTTATCAGATCTGATTTGGATCTGATCTATTTAAATTCATATTACAAATTTTAGTAAATTGGCCAATCAGAAAAGTGTAGAATTTACGGTAATTCAAAGAATATGTTATAAGACGAAGTGGAAGCATTAATTCATCTGCTAAATTTACTCTCGTTTCATAAAAAGTTAAGCTATTCAAGCTTTTATAAAATGTAGTATAAAATATACAAAAATATTGTTTATTAATTGTGGCTCTTGTTGGTCTATAGAGCTTTTTTAAATTGATAATATCTATATAATTGGTTGCTATAAATTTTGGAATACCTGATAAATATTTGCCAAATGATAATTTATGATCTGATTGAGTAATTTTTTTCTTTGATACTTAAAAGTGAAAAGCGATTGTTAAAAACATAAAATCAAATAAACATATTATTCTAAAAATATATGTTGATTGTCATAACCATATATAAATGAAAATCAAAATAAAATTATAAAAACTAATCCAGAACGCAGCAACAAAAAATTGTTGAACATAATAAACCCAAATTGTAACAAATGACTTGATAATATTAATAAAAGTTTTGTGCCATTGCATAAATCGGATGATTATAATCATTTAAAAAGCAATAGAATATTCCAAATACTTAGAAAAACCATTATTAGTTTAATGAGTTATTCAAAATAAATAAAATAATTAATTTATTGCTTATCGTTATTATTTTGTTACATAGTCTAAATTTTTATTTGTATTTTTTTTTGTTAAGTTATATAATTTTTAGTGCTTGATATATTAGTCATGTGATGTTTGAAACTGCAATTTTCCTGATAGTAACTATATATATGATTAACTAATCAGCGTGCAATACCGTATAATACTATTACGAATCCAAATCGGGTATACCTGACCAGATCTTACTATAGATCCGAATTTATACAGATCCAAAAATAATAGATCCGAACTCAATCCGTAAGTGGATCTGGATCAGATTTGAATCAGATCTGGATCTTTTGTGGAATACTAGGTATGACATATATATAACTCTGTTTAACATATATATGTCATGCCCCAAATGACAATTTTCCCAGATAACAATCTGGTCAAAATTATAAATTAATTAGCCCAGACGTTAAGGTTAGATTTGGGCAATTTTAATTTGGGCTGTCCCAATTGGCAATCAGGACAGAATTATCATTTGGGTACAACATATATATAGTATTTGTAATTGATATATATATTATATATAATAAATAAAACATTTAATTTTAAAGTACATATTATTTTAAAACATAAAAATATTAACCAAATATTCATTATATTTATTGAATCTTGAGACAATATGAACTGTCCTATCGATACTCTCTATTGGGATACAGCTATAATGTTCTATTAATTTTAATTTAGAATATTTCTATATATTACTAACTTCCTCATACCAATATACAAAAGCAAAATCTAACGATTCATTTTCAATAGTTTGGTAAAACTTGAAAATCAAAAAAATTTTAATAAATAATATTTTAAGAGTTTGGGTTCTATAGCTTATTGGTTAAGCTTCCAAACCCTACAGACAAGATTAATAGTTCGAGTCGAGCTAGAGACAAATTTTAATAAAATTTGTTTCTGTAACCTACAGGGCCATAATCAGATACAAAGCCTTGTAAAAAGTTCAAGTGCAATATGAAACCAGAATAGGAAGTTCTCAAAAGGAAACCAGGTTGTAGAGTGAAGACATTATGTATGATAGTGGTATCACAGAAGATCTAGGCAATAGAAGATCGCACGTATAAGTTCTCTGATTAGAGTGACTTGGAGGCAATACCAACAACCTATCACCTCTATATTTGGCAATACTAACATCCTTACACCCAACTTGTGGGATACTTGCTTGGAAAGATGATCAATGAATTGTGCATATAAGTCCTAATGTGGAATGGCATTGGGTACTTGCTTGGAAGAGTGATACTATACTATCAAAACTAGAGTAGTGAGAGAAACAGTAATATACAACTATGGGCTGTGGTAAAGGATCATGTCTTAACTAGAATTGGAAGCACCTTTGGTACCAGTGAAATGACTATAGAAAGCTACTTAACGTAGAGAATATAACCTACTCATGTATATCTAAAGATACCAATTCGGAGCTCTGATCATACCTATATGGCAGTCTATAACAAAAAAAAGTTAGAATTTACTAATATTAATGTGATATTAACTAGAAATAGCTAGAAATGATTTAGCTTGCTACTTAAATAATTTCATAGTATTAGGCTAGTCTTTAACAAGATAGGTTATTAAAGCAGAATTATGGAAAATAGCCAATAGCTGGAAGTATGTAGCTTTGTAGTTGTGGTGCAATTCAAGGGGTCTTTACAAACTATAGTTCTGATAAAATACTATATAAGGAAGTACTTAGAGGGTAGTAAGAAGTATACTGCATCAGATAACTTAGAAAATGCTAAGACTTGGGAATGGCAAACTGAGTGGCGGCAGCAGGAACCTGGCTTGAGATATAAGGCTAGTATACCTGAGAATACAAGTGGGAGATTTGGGGCATTCATATAATATAAGTTGCATAAAGGAATACAAGCCGACAGAAACTGAGCATACCAACCTATAATAAGTACCCTTTCCAATATGTGATACCAATGCTTCTCATGTGGGACTAGGGCAGTAGCAGATACTTGGCTTGAGAAACGTGAATGAGAAGCCACCTATTAGAAGAAGTATACCAGTCTAGTAAATACTTCAAATAACAGGCACACCAAATTGGGAGGCCATTAAGGACCAATTATCTAAATAAACCAATTTGAAAGTTACCAAGGTTTGATAATGAGACATGGAGTAAATGTGGTAGGTAACTAGATATAGTCTAAACACCAAATCCAGGTATAACCCAATACGTAGTGGGAACGTAGCATATTCTGGTAGATTTAGGTCATAGATAAAATTGTCTAAGCCTGTATTCTTAAGATTATATGTAGCTATATAAGGCAAATACTTGATATATCTAATAAAGATATGAGGCAAGACCTCACCTTAACACTGAAAAAAAAAAATAAATAAATAATATTTTATAATTAGAATTATATTTCAGTTAAAGAATATACCGAATTAGAAAATCGGATTCTAGAATGATCTACATATTGATTCTCGAATTTGATTGGCTCTTATGCACCTTTTTGCTAGCATTTTTCAGGAATTTTTTATTCTTTGAATTCATTATTAGAAATCCGAATAAAAGCACAAGTAGACAATATAAGACGTCTAGTTTAATTAATCTACAATAATCCACGCGAGTTAATGCTTGTTAAAAAAGTAAATGAGATCCGAAATCTACGCACAAACGGAAAGATAAGAAGGTAATCTTGATCGCAAATTATATGCTTTTAAGCTTCTTACTTTTGCAAAAAGTCTAAAACAACTTTCTTTAGAAGTAAAAAAAAAAAGCCGCCCTAAGATAGGATGTTTTTGTCCTGATATGATTATATCTTCATCACGATCTACTGATCTAGCATACATCTAATAAGTTTTTTAAGATGCCATATGCCAACTACTAGTGCTAGTGATAAAGGAATACTTTTTGTTCCTTTCTGCCAAAACCTCTACCAATTTCTTTTACTTGACATACAATTTTATTGATATCAATACCAAGTACTGAGGTAATCACAATTTGTATCTTGGTAGGATTTTGTGTTGAGGAGTGAATTTCATTATTAACGTAGCCTGGACAATTTTTTCTTTGTAGATCTCCATTTTATACACCCGGGTAGTGCCCTACAAAATCAAATCAAATTTTAAATTTGATTCAAATATTTGAAATTATTTGATCAAAAATTTGATCAAATAATTTCAA